GAGAATCGTTATGTAAGTCAATCAGATAAGTATATATTTCCCACTTAAAAGTAAGATTTTTAGGCCATTAATATTTTCTTATAGATCTGGTTTCTTATTAATGGGCACATAAAGACACAGCAAGCACTTGTCTCATCATCCTCTTTATGAAATAAGCAGGAAAGCCTCAGAGGCAATGCATACATTTTTGCTAACAGCATTTACCATTTAAACAGATAAACATCACCACAAAAGCAGAAAGCAGCAGGCCCACTCCCCTCCACTGGGTGAAATCCCAAGTCCTGGGAGGAACCCTGACTCAGCCCAAAACAAAGCAGAAGAGAAACAGAAGGATGCAGAAATAAACAAGGCTGTAGTATCAACTTCCATCATTTTGGACTCTAGTCAAACAGATCAAGGTCTTTCTGCTCAGCTTAACGAAAGCCTTCGATGGGACGGGATTCTTGAAGATCCTGAAGCAGAGGAAGAAAGGCTGCGTATCTATAAGATGAACAGAAGGAAACGGTACGAATCGTATATCCAGCAACATTTGCCTGCTGAGCCATGCCCAACCATCAGGCATTCCCCATTACTTCATCACAGGGCATCATGCACAAGCAGCAATCACACGATATGTAAAGAAGATTGCTGCAGTTATTTTCCAGGGGAGCAAGCGTGAAGCGGTCCTGGATGCTGAACGAGCTAGCACAGTCTCGGAGCTGCAACCAGTGGTGTCACCCAAAAATCTCTCAACAAGTTCTGTAGCTTAGTACTTACTACTCACTGTCTTCTATCTGTGTGGAGAACAGGACATTTATATTTTAAAAACAAACCAACCTGTTAGTTAAAATATAGATACAATTCAGACTACATCAACAATTAAGTGTGGTCCTTTCCATACTGCCTATTTGTCCTGGAGTATCCCTAGTTATTGCTATTAGTTTTTTTCAATGTAATACTCACTGCATTACACCTGAGCTTTTCAGGTCATAATTGCTGGTCCTGAAAACAGCAAGCACAGCCCTTGTGGCAGATGGGGAAACTGAATGTGGGCAGCTGAATGACCAGATACCTTCTTTGGAGGTTAAAATGATTTGCAGGCACAAACTTACCTCGTACTTGAAACTGAACAAGCTGCAAAATCGGGATTGGCATCCAGCCCTCATCTCCTGGCTTCTGATCTAATTGTTAGGTACACTATTTTATTTTGTTATAAAAATTAATTGTATCAGACCCTCAGATTTGACATTCTGGAGAAGCAGAGCATATACACGAGGAAAATTGAGCACATCTATAACAATGGGGTTATCCTTGTCATGGTAGGTACTGACTAGAAACCCATTTGGTCAATATGAATTAAAAATCCTGTCAAGCAGTAGGCTGCCTTGTACTCTCCTACTTCACTTTCTCATAGTAAAGGAATATCTTTCACACAGAGCGTTACTACAATATTAAACAAAACCAGCCCAGGCCACACTAAAGGAAGTATTTGGAAGTTAGACAGCACATCTGAAAGGAGAGAAAGTTTTTCCTGAAGCCCTCCCGAAACATACTGTTCTGATTTTTAAAGTTTTTTCTTAATGGCTCTTCATTGATTTTCTTTTATACAACAATTGATGTTTATATAGGGCTTTTCTCCCTTTTTTTTTTTTTTTTTTTTTAAACACTGCGTGATACACAAATGCTTGCACAGACTTTTGCAGGAGCAGCGGCATGCTTTAGAATAGCTTCAAAGCTCCCTAGATTCCAATAATGTCATTACATGCAAATCTAGACCTTTTGCAAGCAGATAACCAGATGAACAATAAAAAGTAAGCAAAAAAATCCCATTATGAATTAATTAGCTGATGTTCAATTGCATCCATTACTACTCTGGCAGAGATACTAACAAAATCAGCACGCCTGCAAATTTGGGAAGGTTTAAAGAACAGATTAAGCATCCAGAAAAACACTACAGCATTTCTCTCAAAACACTAGTTTGTAACCATCTATTTTGTTTTTATAAAGTTTAATGCATAAGACATTCTAGTCTTATTTTGTGCTGTATTTACTAATGTAGCATTTGAGCATCTACATTTTTAACCAAAATTAAAAATAAATTCCTGTCTGGTGAAATACTTGTTACATCTGAAAATTTTAAGTGCTTCACTTGCAGGATATCCTGAAATCCAAAGCAGAAACTCTCTTTGAAAATAAAACTATACCAGATGAAAGACTCAAATACATACTGGAGAGTATTTTCAGCTGTCTTTAAGGCACTTTTTCAACTTTCTAAACTGATAAACCCACATTTGGTGGTGTGTTGGGTTTTTTTAATACAGTTTTATATAGGAAGCTCCTTCCTAGAATATGTAAACAACAGCAACACATGATATAAGAGAAACAAGAAGGGAGCTGGGACTGGCAGGACATATTATGTATTTATTACTAAGTAGATACCATAATAAACATTGAAAAGCTTTGAATTAAAAATAAAGAGACTCCCCTATATGATGGTTTTCAGATCATTTATTACCAATAAAGTAAAAGACAAATTGAAAATTATAAGGGGTGGGGGGGAACGTCACAGACATCAGAACACTTGCACAGAGCTAATCAGAGCTTTGCAAATGTTGGAACATAAATAATTTAAAAGGTATCTCTACCGATTAAAACATTTTTAAGAGGTACATAATTAAGTTTGTTTGCTTTATAAAAATCAGGTGCTTTATCCTAAAACCATAGTGTAAGGGTAATTTCATTTCTAACTAGGGACAATTAATGACTACAACTTAAAATAATCTTCTCTTAGATCTCCTTCAAATGAATTCATTGGAAGAGCGTTGTCGGAGCAATCCAGGGTCCGTGTTCTTCCAGCGTCCTGTGTCCAACAGTGGCCAGCACCAGATGTTTCAGGAGCAAGGTACACAAAACTGCAAAGCGAGCAATGACGCAGTAGCTTTCCCAAGGAATAGTTCTGTCCATTTGAAACCCCACACCCTTAGGGCTGAGCTGTGTCCTCTGTCACACAAGTATATCTTGGGGCAACGTTAGGGGAGAATCGCAACATGTACTTAGGACACATCTCCTAAATACTGTAGTCTGACACTAACATGTTTGATGAGAAGACCGCGCTGCTCTTAGCAACTCTGGAGCAATGCCAGCCTTTGGCATCCTCTGCCATCCTGGGACTGTTTTAGGATCTGGTTTTCTGAGGCAACTACCAAAGATTAGGGATGTTCTGTTTTGAGCTAATAAATATCTAAAAAACCCAAAACAACAAAAACCACACAAACTCAAGCCTTCCCTCCTGCTGCATTTTTAGTCTCCCAAATCATTTCAGTTCACACTACAGTACACTCCCACACCATTCGTCACACTTGCACAAACGCGCATTAAGTACAGCTCAAGAACAGGCTCCCTGTTTCTAAGTCACCACTGACAAATTCACCTTTGGGGCTACGCACTAGTGAAGTTCTCTCTAAAAGCTGGTTCCATGCTGATGTTGCACCAGAAGGTGACCCACACCTCAAAGGAGTTTTGGAATACATGGAAAAGCTGTGTCCAGCTAAATCAAGTCTACCAAGTGTTTCTGAGCTGCTACACCACGCTAGCCACCAACGTAAGCCACGCTCCCAAAAGCAGATTTTGGGAGCTCCACACTATGCTGCTCTCTGTCAATATAGAAAAAACCCCATCTGGGTAAAGCAAGAAACCTCTCCATCTTATTTTCATCAAAGCACATGATAAACTAACACATGTACCATCCAGATGGACTTTCATAGCATTTGAAGTTAATCCCTTTGGTCCCCAAACTCATCATGCACTTGGCACTGGAGGGGTTATTCAGCAGCCTACAGACAGGCAAATGCTACCCCATCCCAGAGACATCCTGAATACCAAAGTCCAGCAAGGACACGGACCTTTGCAATGAGAAGCTCAACAGGGAAGCAGAGCTACAGCTGTGGATTTTGCTATACAATAAAAATTTGCCTATCCTTTGCTATCATCTACCTCTTCACAACCCCCACCACGACAGCATCTCACGCCCGATCCCAGCATCTCCTCCTCCATTCTAGGTCCCCGTATACATGGCGCATTTTCTGAAACTTTCCTTGCTACAACTCCCTTAGTGCAGACAGTATAATGTCGGTAAAAACTAGACACTGGTGTTCTTCCACCACCACACTGTCAAGACCCAACTTCCCAACAATACATGGATATTTTTTGGCCTGATATTCTTCATTACAAGTCCTACTACATGCACATGAATGCTAGCTTGTTACACAGACTACAGCGCTGCAGAAGTCATTATAAGTACAGAAGATACATCGCGCCATTCATCTAAAGAACTTGAATTACATAACCCTTTCTCTGCTGCCTGGAGCTGCAAAAGCAGTTTATCTCCTGCTCTACTCTACTCAGAATTCCTCTTCGTTCCAACTCACACTTTCAAACCAGACACGAACACCATAATATAACATTCTTGCATTCTGCTAAAAGCAGAATTCCAATTTTTTCTCTGTTAGCTTTTTCTAGCAATTTTCAGGAGATAGTTCTTAGACAGTCTCATGGTCTAAACTGGAACAAATGACAGCTCTGGCTATCTGACCAAAACACCTGGTAGATTCTCTGCGAGAGAGCAAACTGCCCTTATTTTTGCACGTCACCACAAAGCATCAAATGGATTTCCACCTGCCAGGCACTATTCCCCGTTCTTTCTTACCTGTCCATTTTTTCTCTGGGAAAATAATTCCCCTTATTTTCATCTGACTACGGCACTGCAGGGAAGGGGGGGGGAACTCACGACTTTAAAGGCGAAGAAACAAGTTCCTTACTAAGTTGCGTTCCCACAGAAGACTGCATTCAGGCCTTTCTGATGCTTAAAGCAGGAATTAAGAGCTGAAAAAGAGGTGGCGACAGGTAAGATTCCCTTAGCCTGACTGGAAAGTTAGGGTCTGTACCCGCTTTAGCTAGCGGAGAGTTAGCACAGTACGTTACATGGAACTGGGATGGATCAGAGCAAGAGAGACAGTCGTCAGTCAGCAACCATCCAGGACACAGTCGTTCCCAAGGCACTCCGACGTTTCCAGCTCTATGCTGGAGAGGAACCGCCGCACGGTTTTACGACAGTTGTAATCCAGCGTGGTGGTGTACACAGTCTTGGCATGCTTCGGGTAGACGATGGTGGTGCTGGTGAAACGTTGGGGCTTGTTGCGGGGCTCTAAGTGGACCTCCGATTTGTAATTGCGCCACGTGCAGTTTGGGACACAGATGACCGTCTGACTGCAAGAGGAAACGCTTAAGCCCACTGGCATATACACGTCATTGATGAAGTGCTTCTCCGAGTCGTATTTAACAGAGGATGTGTATCTGAAACACAAGAGAGGTTCATGCACGAGCTCTGCTCTGGAACAGCAGGCTGCATTCTCTGCAAAGCAGAGCCGTCGGGTACCGGGGTGGCTCCTCAGCGCCGCATCTGCCACCTCAACACAGGAACAGCCACATCAGGCAAACACTGTCTGCGGGTGTCTTACTCATTTATGGGGAGAGGAAAAAAGCCTTACGTTAGCAGCACACCCGGCACTGTCACTGTTTTGTCCAGCTGCCAGCACTACCAAACATCTCAATCCTTGTTTTAAGCCTGAGCTCTATGAACCTGAGAACCTCCTTCAAACTCCAGTGCCTAAACGCAGAGGCCTAGATCCACATTTAGGCTGTGCACATAAGCATCCTAATTCCTCAGAGTGCCAAGTGCATGGAAGCACACGTTATTTTCTCAGTTCTCCTCTGCCAAAAGTCACACGGGAGTCCTCAGCTATCGCTCCCAGCACGGGGCACTCTCTGAGAACAAACTTCTGAAGATTCAGCTGGCAGGAAAGTACTACAATTTGCACATCAAACACTGCTGGCAAGACAATCTTCTATGCCTGGTTTGCAAAAGGAAGTTTTCATCTCCTTCACACTGCAACAACTCCGTGTTATCTTTTCCACGGTTCTAACTTCCTTCAATTCCAGCCACGGCACAGGCTCCTTCCCCACACCAGGGCATCAACTCTTTCAACCCTCCCCTGCATTAGGCTTCTGTTTGATTGTATCAGCCTACCTCTGCTTGCACAGTAATCAACTGGGAGCCTTCATTTCTCATTACTGCAAATCATGACGTTCAAAGGAATAATTCACAGGCTGTGAAGTGATGCAGCGCATTAAAAAAAAAATAATTACGCACTCTGAATACTAACTTTTCTTTTAGTTCACACAGCCAACCGCAGCTGATAAGATAGAAAGTGCTTATTATAAAACGATGAGGTTACGAGAGCAAAATTCCTTTCCCTTAATAAAAGTCCTACAAAGATGGCTGCTTTGAAGATCTTCCCTCATGATTACCTTCTGGTTAATCAGTTGAAAGTCAACATTTTGCAGCAGTGCAATGAAGTAAAAGCAGGAGAGTAAAATACAGGAAAGTCTTCCTGGAAAAAAACCCCACATGGGATTAAAAGAGGCTGAACACTCCTTCAGCCTGTACCAATGTCCAGGTCCAGGAATGTATAGCTGCGTGGAACAATAGCTCTGTAAATAAATTAACTTGACTCACAGGGACTGATAAGGCCTAACTACTCCTTTACATGCTAACTCTTTCAAAACTAGATGACTGTAACACAATATTTACCTTATTTCCTTTGCTGGTAAAGGGTCAAACTCAACTCCTTCGCCAAAGGATAAAGGACACAATCTTGGAGGGCAGCTGGAGAGAACAGGGCTGGGGGAGAACACAGAATTCTGCAAAAAATGCAAAAATAATCCTTTTTATGTTACAATCCAGTATATTCTCAAGGGAAACATATTTACTTAGCCCTTGGTACAGAGCTGTCGAGGTTCTCATTTACATGCAAGAGGATCTGCTAGTCCAAGACGTGCCTACAGGTGCAACCCGCAGGTCTGACATCACACTGGTCTACAGCATCAAAGATGTGGCAAGGTGTATTTTTTGAAGACAAAGTCCTAACTCTGGGAGCTTACTTCAGAGGGCCCACTCTGGGAAAGGAGAGAGAAATACAGCCCCTCAGTGCAGCACAGCTTTTGCAGCATGAACTATAGTCCATTCGCTGTATGAGCTCACGTTGATTTTATAGCTAACATTATATGAGTGAATGAAAGAGCTCTCCTTGCTGGATTCATCAGATATGCCCACAGGCAGATCACAGCAGGAAATTATTGTACGGCATCTCACCATGAGCAACTCCTTGTTTCACAGCTACGTGGTGGCTACTATTTGAAAGCATTAAATCCAACCTCCCTAATTCATGTGTGACGTGTTGGGAAGGAATAACTCATTCCCACCAAGCAGCGATTCATGGAGCGTCCCTGTGCTCCTCTCCTGGACATGCAGCGCCACAAGCCAACACCGGCCCACCAATGTCCCACAGCCAGACGGAAACCAAAGCGGCCCCGAAGGGAAGCAACCCGCTTGTGTTGTCAAGCCACCTCTGCACATGTGCTTTACTATACAGGGGTGAGGAAGCTGTGAGCAACTCTCCTGTTCAACACATGGTTCTCCTACGGCCTTTTTCAATTTCATGGCATCCCAATAGAAAAGGGATCTTCCCTCTAGAACTGCGGTTTCCAAAGTATTTGGACCAACAGCTCAGTGTCAGCATTCAAAAACCATTTTGTGAAAAACTAGCGCATCTCTATCTGATGCTATTAACTGAAACCATAGTTTAATATACAAACTTTCTACTCTGGGTCACTCTCCGGAGTGAGAGTTCATTTTCCATGGGGTTTTTCAAAGACGTGCTGTGATGCCATCCCAACCCCTACCTGGGACAGGAGAACCAGGGGCTTCCCTTGCACTAGCAAGAGCTGACCCCAAAGCTGGAGGCTTTTTAAAAGGACCACCAGCTCTTCTGACCCAATACAGCCCCAGCCCTGGCTGCAGACATCCCAGTTCCCCAGCAGGCTCCCTCCTGGTGTGGGTGCCTTAAAGGATGCGACAGCAGCAGGAGAGGTCAGTGGAAGGGAGGGAAACGGGGGACAGCTGTTTCCAACCTGTCCCCACGCCGGCCACCCCGGCGCCAACCTCCCCAGTAACCCCAGTAATGCCGGGCTGGTTTTCCGCCTTCCTTTACTCAAGGATGCTGCGGGGCCGGGAGCGCTGCCGGCGTAGAAAGCCTAAGGAGAAGCGGCCCGCCGCCAGCCCG